GATGAAGACTTAGTTGAATCGAGAATTAAAGTTAAACTACATTGAAAGAAACGGATATAAGATAGTGAGGAATAGTTATCACTTATTTAGCTACTACTTATTAAGTACATTTTAAGTACTTATTAAGTACGTTTTTGATTTTAACTAACACAGCTAGATGTTGCGGCAATAAATATATTATATTTTGTTTTAAATAGCCAACTTTTAATAATAGGGGAAAGTGAGAGGATTGCGGACACTGGATAATTACGGACACACGTATATCTCTGTTCCTCCGCTCCTCTCAAATTCCGCTATCATGTCACGTTAATTAACGCGAAGCGAGTAGTCACCTAAGCACTCACAACAGGACGTGAGTCGAGAATGCTATTTCCAAGATAAATCACGAAATAATATTTTGGCCACTTTCTTCTAATATTTCACTATTTTATTTTCTGTGTTTTTGTTGTTTAAATGACGATATTGTTATTTATTTTTGTCATGAGAAATCATTATCTATTTAAAAATAATATTGTGTGTATAAATTCTGATTATTTTAAGGTTATGTTTACTTTAATTATTTCGGTTTAAATTAAGTTATGTTGAGATAATTCCAGATGGGTCATTGGAGTATTAACAGACGTCCGATTTTACCTTTGTTTTATATATAATGAAAGCTTTTACATACTAAAATATTATATTATTGACAATGATAATAAGGAAGATGAATTCTTCTGCATATTTTGCAATGAAAAGTACATGTCTCCACCTACGGAGGACTAGATAATATGTCTATTATGTCTGAAATGGGCACGTGAGGGCTGTACTGATGGCATTTCTTCAAATGGATATCTATGTGATATTGGTAATAAGTAAACATGTTTCGTAATTATTCCGACCTGTCTGTATTTACTTAAGCATCTGTCCGTTAATACCCCATAGACTTTGAGTAAATACGGATAGCAAGTGTTTTGTTTCTATTAAAAAATTCAGTTTGTTTATGATAATTTTTATAATATGTTATCTTAATCCTAAAGACTAATAAGTAAAGGTTGACCTCCAATAAATAAAGACTGATTATATTCTTAAATCTTATATTCTTAAATCTCTTCTATTTCAGTTTAAGTTTATGTGTCCGTATATCCCCCATTTTCCCCTAACAGTAAAGTTTGAACTATACAACTGATATTTAGCTGATGTTACTAACAATAAATTCTTTTTTGGCACACATGGAAAATAAAATTCTTTAGCGCTGCAGCTAATTATGCTAATTATCGCTGAAAGTATATTTGCTGCATCAGCAAAAGAATTTGCCACTGTTACTACTATATCGATTTCTTAGCGAGGTATATTTATCTGCAATGATAATGTCGATTATAAATCGAAAATTTGCTGTCTTTAAGTTAACATATGTAACTAACGCAACCAAAGTATTTTCTTCACTAAAGTTGCTTACCCGCGAACAGTAGGTGACACTGTGTTATAAGATGCATGGAAAAAAAGGATTAGCAGTAAGAGCTAAATATATAGCTGTGATAGCTAAAATGTGTCTTTAACAGGAACAACTAATGCTGTTACTGCCCCAGCTAAATTTATTAACTTTGCACTTATGTACTGTAACAACAAATCTTTGCTGCTAGAGACACATCATGTTTAGTTGAATGCTACTTTATCCTTTGCTGCAGAATTAAATAATTTCTATTGTAAGTACTTTTGCTGTGATCATATTATTTTCGCCGTTAATGTTAAATAATCTTTGCTGCCTTAACTATTAATTTTACTTAAAAAAGCAATACTAGCTCCAAGATGTCATAGCCAAAACTGTGATATAGAGTAAAGCGGGGTATAAGTTGGACAAGTTAAACAAACTTTCAAATTGTATAAAGATTGATCGCATAGTGTATTCAATCGAACATACAAAACATACATCATTATTGCATCAGTAATGTATATTTTGTACGTTTTATTGAATACCCTATGCCAAGAGATATAAAGAATTAGGAATAGTAAATAAAAGATCTAGGTATTTTTAAAGAGAGATGTTTGGAAAAAAATAGGAATTGGAAAAGATGCATTAGTAAAGGTGTGGAAATATAAAGGAAGCAAATAAGTACTAAAGGAGAAGCACAGAAGATGTACATTATGATAAAATAGATTGCATGGAGTGTAAAAAGGAATGTCAGAGGACAAGTGAATAATTCACAGAATTGGACAAAAATAAAAAGACAATAAAGATAGGCTGTGGAATAAAGTATTGGATTAGGCAATTAAAGTGAAGTCATAAAGAGAAAGGAGAAAGAAAAGGAAATCGGGAGAAAAGAGGAAAAAAGCTTAGATATAGTTTTGTAATAATAGGATAAGTACTGTGTGTGTGAATAAATAAGAATAGATGATTAAGGATCTCTTTCACCAACCTCGATTAAACTAACTGATGGTTACATGGGGCTTGTTTAGCGAACTCATATAACCATTGATTAGCTTAACTAACGTTAGTGAAAGAAACTTTAAGGTGAGCAAGTGTTAACAGGTGACTAAGAGAACAAACGTTGAAAATTAAAGGATTTAAAAAAAGCAAAACGATGATATTTAATGTAGTGTAAGGAAGCTAAGAGAGATATTTTGTATGATTCTAGTCTGTCTTATGATAACAGTAGAAATTTGAGATGCAATAATAATTAGTATAAGTAGCGTATAGATGAAATAAGTTTGAAAGTGTAAATGTAGTTTGGATGTGTATAGATTATTTATTTTTATAAATCAAGTCTTCTTGGCAAGCTGAAGCAAATAAATAATCATTCAGTACTAAATTAAATGTGCAATACGTGATCGTAATTATATACTGTTTATTTAAGAAAATTTAATATTTTTTTAAATTTATTACTTAAATTGCAATTATGCTTATATAAAATTTTTGTTTGCAATTACAATTTTAATTGTACTACATATGATTAAGAAATGGAAGCAGAGTCTGTAAAAACAGTACTAGCATTTCGCTAAAACTTTTACATGGCGTACAATTGACTTTATAAATTAAATTATGAAGAACTTTAAGGATTTAAATTCTCGTAAAGTTTGGACATCTTTGGCGCTCTTTAAACTTCAGCTACCATTCTAATTGTTCTTATTTCATAAATCCATTCCCGCTATTCTGCGAGATTACAATAAGCCCTTAATTAAAAACTACGAAAATGTATGGTAAATTATACATGTTATTACAATAGATTTACAGTAGCAAATGTTACATAACACTGATTTTTAATCCTTTTGTATTATTTAATTTATCTATTATCTACATTTTTTAATTATTTTCGTAATTGCGCATACACACACACACACACACACACACACACACACACACACACACAGACAAATGACGATTAAACATTAATAAGAATAATCGAACGATCTGCCAATGTATCCATGAGTTTGTACACACAATTCGATTCTCAAGATTTATTAAAACTCGTGATTGATCCATTTGCAATGCTAATTAATGTTTACCCGTCCGACTTTATTCGTCTCGATGACAGTGGCTTGCCTCGCCTTTATTTACCTCCACCTATATTCGTACCCGCGAATCACCACGAATAATTGAAATTAATTGCGCTTCGTCCCATCTATTCTTTCATTTGCGAGCGTACCGGAGACCATTGTTCGGCGCGAAAGGTTGATTAATGTTTTCTATTGTTGAAATAATGCTCAACAAAAACATAAACGCTCTTTGTCTTCTCCAACATAGATTAAGCCCGGTCTCTCTGTTTTTATTTCGTAAAAGTGCACCCTGCACCTTTGCTTACATCTCGTAATTGCGTAATTTCAATGCTTTGTATCGTAAAGTATACATGCGATTGAGAAAGTTAATAATGTTCATCATTTAACTCTCCAATGCACATTGAACTTATATCAGCTTTTTCTCATTTCAATGCGAGACCGAATTCGCATGAGCCATGCAGTAATCCGATTGTTCTTTCAATAATAAAATAAATACTAATTTATCACGCATTCACATCTTGCGTAATTATATATAATTATATGTAGTTAGTATGTTAGTGCAGCCTGTACGAAGTTAGTCTTCCACTTTTTGAATTAATTTATTTTAAGAATAGTACTAGGTTTGTGCCCAAACGTTAAACTACTATGAAAAATATTAAAAAATGAAAAAAATGATTTTTTAAGTCAGTCCTCTACTTTGCATTTTTTCCAATTGTGCTGGGTTGTACTAGGTTGTGCTAACATTGTGCTAAAGTGATAACTTTAAATAATGGTAACAACAGAAGTTATATTACAAGAAATAATTTTTGACAATTTTTTAATATAACAATTATATTCAGAATTATCAAAAATTATTTCTTGTCATAACTTCTATTGTTATTATTTTTTAAAGTTATCACTTTAGCACGATATTAGCACAACCTAGCACAACCTAGCACAATTTAAAAAGTTGAAAAAAATGCAAAGTGGCGGCTGACCTAAAAAATAGTTTTTTCCCATCTTTTGTATTTTTCGTAATACAAGTTTAATGTTGAGTACAATGAGGCACAGTTTTTAAAATAAATTAATTCAAAAAGTGAGGGACTTCGTAGGCTTATCAGTATTAATTTTAAACATAAAATTCTATACGTATATGAAAAAAATATACATAATGCATTAAATCAAAATAGTTTTATTGCAATTTCAATCGGATTAAAATCCATGCTAATCTCCATAAATTTAACAATTTTTGAAGAAAATAATGAAATTAACAACCATATTTTCGCTTTCTGCCACATTAGTACTCGCCGTAATCATACACTCGTTTCTCAGTACTTCCGAATGTCAGTCCAACTACTCGGCCGCAATTTCGTGAAGTAACGAGTAGTCGCATTTCCGCAACGAAATTTAATACGCATCTAGAAATAGTATATCGCGTAACGCGATCTTTTATCATTCACCGCACACTCACATTTGCTGTCGTCGCTGCACCTCAAGTACACGTAATATGTTTCGACTTTCGACTGAATCAATAATGAAATCTTCCAAAGAGATGCGGGAATCGACACCGATGCGACAGCAGTGAACAGGGCAATGCGCTGTTAAGAACGGCCGTAAAGCTACGAAAGGTCATCGAGAAAAAGAAAAAGAGAGAGAAATTATGCCGGACAAAAATCTCGTCTGCCGGAATGGACAACGCGAAAACAAAGATTTTCTTGCCGGCGAAATATCATCCATCGGCATGTCATTACGGCCCAGCGGGAGCGCATCCTCCGGTGAGTAACTACTCTACTTACTGAGGACGAATGTTTGATGCGAATCTCGAAAGCCAGCATAAACCATTTGATAGCGTGTTGCATAATTTGCGTCGACGTATGTGCTGTAATAAATACGTCAGATCTGCGCATATACATAGCGAATTAATCCTTCAATTTTGGAATTAACGTATATTTCAATATATTAGATTAAACATTTTTTTTATTGATTCTTCACCCTTACTCGCGATTAACTAACAATTCTGAAATAATTGCAATTTGTGAAAAAAAGTTTATGAAAGAGAATGCTTAGTTGGCATTTTTCTTCTTTTCAAAAAATATTGTATTTTTGCAGATTAATCATTGAAGGACAAGTTGACAAATAAAACATTTATTTGTTATAAAACAGGATTTATTTATACATGTGGAAAATAAAGTATTCATTATGAATAGAAAAATATTCATTTTAAGCATAGACATTTTTGTGAAATTTTATTCTGCAAATACAAATTTTTTCGAGCTACAATGATCAATTTTTAGATTAAAATTGATATAAAAAAAACTGATATATATCTATTGCGTTATACAATCGATTTCAATTCTTGCAGCTGCCCTAATAGTTTTCTTACGACGTGTCCATTAGTAATAACTTCTCTGCCATGTTTGCGATCCGCAGCGACACAGTTTGTTAGTTCGTGTCTCGCATCTATACATTCCTGAGGGATAGACAGGGGAAAAGATTCGGCCGTAGTCAAACCTGTACGAAGTTGATTGAACAGATTCAGGATGACACATTCTTTCATAAAAACTTCAGAATCGGCTATCTTAACGTTGTCTGTGGCGCAGAGCCACAATATATTATCCAGCCAGTTTTCCTCCTCACGTTGATCGGTTTTATAACTTATACCCAGATCTTGCAGCCACAACGTCAACTGCAATGTGAAATTTAGATTTGAAACTATTTCCAAGAGCGCATTTCTTTCATGTTATAGTGAATCTATCATCGATAACGCAAGCGCGTCAGAACGGAATGCCAGCATCCGGTTATAAATATCGAGAGTAACGCGAAAGAAGATGAAACATTAAAATCTCCACCCATTTTGCGTCCAATGTCATGTTATACAGATAGTCTTGATAACCAAATTAAATTATTAGTTTTGTAATTTATATGCCCAGATCTCGCAGCCACAACGTGAAACTACAATGTGAAAAAATTAGATTTGAAATTATTTGAACTATTTCATTTAAATTTTAGATTTGAAACTATTTCCGAAATATCATTCCTTTCATATATTAAGCTTGAAGCTTGATCCTTGTCGCGGACGCTTTTTCCGTTATAATGCTTGTTTATACGACAGTGTTTTCTCAATTAATCAAACGAAATTTGAAATGTGCACTCACCGTGCCACGACACTGGAAAGTGAGGGGATTTCCAGAGAAGCGGAGTTTCTCGAGGCTGGCCATTGGTACAAGCTGTGTCGGTTCCAGACACGTTAAACGATTCTCCTTGACGTCGAGCCATTTGAGACCTCGCAATTTCTCGAAGACTGTAGACTCGATCGATGTGATAAGATTGTATGATAGGTCTAATCCCTGCAGAGATGTCAGATCGACGAACCACTGATCTTTTATCGATGTGATGTAATTGTACGACAGGCTAAGCTTTTTCAGTTTCCTTAGACTGTCGAATGCGTAATCGGAAATTTCCCTAATGCCACAGTCGTGCATATTCAAAGAAGCTAGATTTTTATTGTATCTTAGAAATGACCGATCGGGAATATTTTCTATCCGCGATTGGAAAATCATGATGTCGTCCACAATCGATCCGCCAAAAAGTAGAGCAGTGCTTAACGTCACGTTGGAGCATTTTAGACGCTCGCCAAATCCTAGGCATAATTAATTCTTCATTACTCGCGTGGAATGTATTAAATGATTGCTATTTATACACATATTAATATATTTAGCTCAAATTATTTCACAATTAAAAAATTTTTTCCATTTATCTTTATGTAAAAAATATATAAAATATTATCAACTTTTATTTAATTTTAAATTTAAAGAAAACATGAAAATTAAAATATGTTAGGGTATCAGAAACACTCTACACCTGTAAAAAATGTTATGTTAAAAAAAACTACGCGAATAATGTAGAGTTAAATAAAACTGACAATATTTATGAAAAATAGCGACGCAAAGATGATAAGATCGGATAATCGATGACAATTATTAAATATTTTTCATCATCTTGCATCTGAAGACACGGTAGTGTCTCGGCTTTATTTTTTTTTTTTATTTTTTTTTACACTGTACTGCTGTTTGTACAGTTCACATTTATTTCAGAATAAAATTATCTTCCACTGTAGGCAACTGAAGCACGCGCGAGTAGCTAAACTAAACAATAAAAGAAAAAGAGATTCTTTGAAGAAAATGGATGAGGAAAAATATTATAGAGTGCTTTACCATCCTCGTATCTACTGGTGATGCACGCCGTGATTGCGGCATCTATGAAGATAAAAACGCAGACAAGTATGAGAAGCAAGACGCGGCACATCTTGAAACGCATTTTGCCCATAAGCGATTGTACGACTGACTGTTCATTGAGAATAGATACAGAATAAGTGAGCAATTCCTCCATACCGAATTATCACAGCCGAATTATCACGCTTCCGTTCTCTAAGTGATACCACGCTATCTGTGAAACAATTATTACGCAAATACCTCGGATGCAGTTCATGTGTTCCGCTGATTGTAAAAATATATCATTAATTGACAATGGTTGTTGTCTGTTTCAGTCAGGCAACATAAAAAAATCAATCTTATTTCAGGAAACGTAATCATAATTTACGTATTAAATCCTACTTATTTATATTCCATAATGCTGAAAAGTGATGATAAAAACATATGCATATTACACATATCTTATGGTAAAAAAATATCTTTTTATCTTTTTTTTTTTTGGTTTTTTCGAAGAAAAGAATGCGAATTCAAGAAAGTGCCTCAAAAATCTTAGTTTCTCGTTATCGTCATATTTATTTGATCTTTTGTTTGAGGTCAATCAATCCGATTATTGTGCATTACTAAACATACATTGTTTTCCTTTTGTGATAGGCATCTCGACTCTCGCGAGCTGCGGCGAGGTGGATGCGCTGCCCGAGCTACCGGCCCAAGATGAGGAACGTCTGCAGCGCGCTGCGCGTCTGCTGCAGCAGAGATTGGTGTTACGTCAATGGCTGATGGACCATGGCCTACATAATTATTATCAAAAGTAAAAGCAAAAGAATAAACATAAATATGAAGAATCCAATAATCATGAATTCGTTGAACGATTCTACTCTCTGCATACTTCATTGCATTATATTATTACAATTACGTGATTGAAATATAAACGAGATTTTTTGTGTGAATACAAATCAATGTTGATATACGTATTTACGTATTAATGAATGAAGTGAGATTGCTGCTCGTGCCTTACATAGGCAGTGTTCTGACTCACACAACACATGGGGGGGGGGGAGACTTTCAGAGAGGGGGATGTCCAATTTACATTCTTAATGACCCATTGTCCTCGTATTTCGGACGTCCTCGGAATTTCCAAAAGTTTGGACGTTATATAACGGCGACATAAATAGGACATTTGAGGACATACATCGGACGTCCGAAGGATTTCACGTGTTACATAGGGATGTACACAGTCCAGTAATATATTAAGTCAAAAAAGGTCATTACGGAAAAATCCTCATTTAGCTAAATTTTTGCACACACCTTTATTTAGAATTATTTAGTATTATAAATAACATGTAAAAAGTCCCCATCGACATCGAAAATTATTCAAGATCGACGGTCACGAAAATCAATTTTTCGCAAATATCTCGCTTCCTGTTGTGGTCGGATGTCAATTATGGTTATGAAAATTGTAGACTGAACAATTTTCTATAAAAAAAGTCCTATACATTTTTCACATACGAACAATTGTTTTGTTGTAACAACACTACTGTTGTACACTACAGTACTGACAGTAAATATCAGAATGTAACCTCTATGGTCGTTGCAATGTCTGAACAAACAGTACCGACAATAGCTGTGATCTAAAATTTACTGCCAGTACTGAAAATTTATAGTTTACGTCACGTGTACTATAGATTTTCAATACTGGCAGTAATATTTGACAGTAAATTTTGGAAAACACTCAATGAGTACCGTTGCGCATTTGTATTTTCGATAGCATCTCTTCTCTGAACTGTGCACGCAGTTTATGCAAAATTTCGATGACTTTAACATTTTTATTCACAAGAGACTTATGCCTGTTTTCACCAATGTAGACTAACGTTAATCTCAGTTCAACTTACTCTAAAGATTAGAAAAAGACGAAGTTGAACCGAGATTAAAGTTAATCTACATTGATAGAAATTAATCAACCAATACATGAATACTTGAAAAACGTTGCGCAACGACACTGTTTGTTCGGACGTGGTAATAACTACAAAAATAACTATTGTAAGATTATAACTATTTAGTGCGTGAAAAAACGCCCCCACCTCGGTGTAATAAACACATCTACCAATATTGATTTGTATTTATACAAAAAAGTCTTTATATTTAAACCACTCTCGTACATAATTAGAAATAATTATATCAATCGATTCCTGTTATGTACCATTTAGGGAAATCTGTTAGTAGATAATTATCTTTTCTTTTCTACTTAATCTCTTTCTTTGAAAAAACCGTTTATGAGCACTTACTATTCACAATATTGTTTAAAATAAAAAAATGTTAAAAAGAAGATATGCTTTGTCAGGTTGATGCAAATGGAAGTTATGTCCCTGGAGGATGTATACTGGGTAGAGGATAATGCAGCACGGACAGCTCTTGGCAAGGATTTACCACGGTGGACTCAAGCTAGGCAGACGTTACCTACTTCGAAGGAAGATTTGGAAACTCTTAAAGCGGATCTCTGGAGTGCTGTTGTAAAGAATAGTCAACACCAGGATGCTTGGACATGGGGTACGAGTCTTTTCACGTTCTCCTTATTTCCGTGAAATAAAATTTTTTCTCCGGTATTAGAATTTATTTTCAGTGAAAATAAATTGAATAATTATTTACGATTAAAATAGCACACGCAAGATAACAGCATTAAAAGTCGATTCTCTATATTTACACGAGCTTTCATACATTTATTAAACGTTCTCTTTTACGAGTGATTATCAAAAGACTATTAATTTTATGCGCAGAACTAACAAATAACTACTTACTTATCAGGCGGTATGCTGATAGTTTCCGTATCGGTGGCAGGGCTGGTTACTCTGGCTGCTATGACGCAGCCCGCTTTGGCACCTGAAGCGAAACACTCTCTTTTGCAATACGTCACAGGGAAATATTTATTGCCGAGTAACTGCCGCGTTCATTTCGAGTGGGAAGAACCTCAATTGGTCGGCGAAACGATGACTTTTACGGTCAAAGTGAGTAAATTGCGCCATCAGAATCTCTCACGAATTTATTAAGATGTACCTTATGAGATTTGTTTTCTGTTCCTGCATGAAGATTGCACTAGAACTGAACTGAATTGAACTAGTGTAATGCAGAACTGATAGCGTGAAGGATTAGAAAACGTTCTAGTGCAAGATAAAAATTGCATCCTATATTATTTACATGGAAGTATTAGATTTGTGTGATAAAGATGAAAGTATTAATACAACTCCACTATTAAGAAAAATTTTAATTAAAGATAATGATGATACAAAATGTTTTTGTATGTAGGCTTACGATCATTTATATATTTTTATCGTTTTATTACTCGTAAACTCTTGCACTATTTGTACAAAGTCTGTTTTCTGTGGCTTAACTAGTGTACACTAGTGTTTGCATTGATTACACTGGCTCCTAGTGCAGTCAGTTCACTGAACTCGTGCACTGAGTTCTGTTGTACTGGAATAAAAAAACAGCGTCGCTGTCGCGATTTTGGGAACAGAAAACACTTTAAGATACACTTTTTAAATTAGTGCAACCAGTGCAGAAACAGAAAACAAACCTATGGTGTGCATCACTCCACTGGCAGTGCAGCGCTTACACACAACTGGTGCGATGTAAGGCTATTCTTTTTAGTTAAAGTTCTTGCATGGTTTATCTTTCTTTCTTCTTTTCACGTTGGAAAGGAAAAGAGAAAAGATGAACCGTGCAGAAAGTTCAGCTAAAAACAATAGGCCTTATGTTGAGCTGTACCCAGTGCATCCAAAGGAAAAACGCTATAGGTTGCTTCTCTGTAATCAAAAATTGAGCGTCTACTCTGCTCTAAATCTGAATCCGCAAAACTTTATTATCTATATATATGGTATTTATATTTATGTATAATATAATACATTTCTATTTGAAAGATTTCATTATCAATAAAGCTAAACATATGTGTTTATTGTCTCTGAACATCGAAGAGAAATGACTCTATTTTCACTCTCATCGCATTGTTTATGAATAGACTTTTAATATATTTTATATTGTGATATACATTTATAAGAAACAATAATTATGTGTCTATACTTTATATACATAACCAGAGGAATACATTGTTACCGATACCAACATTCTAATTACAATATTTACTACATACTGAGCGAAATTGTTGACAGTGTTATTATTGCGATTGAAAGTAAAGTACAATTTTTATATATTTTCTTTTTGTAAATAATAATTTCACCGTTATTTTTGTTAAAAAAACATTGATAATGATTCAATACGGATCGAAACGTTTATTTTTGTTTTGTTTGTTTATTGTCGGCAAATTAAAGTTTTATATTTTAATTAAATGACATGTTTATTACTAACGTTTTCAATTTTTAATTTATAACGATTAACCTCGTAGCCCTTTTCTTTTTCGTTTTTTAATTTTATTGCCTTATTACTATTATAGCCTAAACATATGTGATAAAAGTTATAATAATTCATTTTTAGCTTATCAGTTAGATATAAGAATATTTGTTTGCAGTTTTATCAACGCAATGGTCAGCCGTACCCAATATGTGACAAAGATAATTTGATTGTGGAGGTAACAGAGGATACACGCAGAGTAGCTACATTAATAGAACTGGGAGGCACCGACCCCTTAGCTGCAAATACTGCAGTAGTAAAGTTTACTGTCCGCCATGCGGGACAATATCGAATAGCTGTACTTATCGGATCGTGTCATGTTCATGGCAGCCCGTTTCTTAAGAATTTTCTTCCTGGTACGTATATTCGATACTGATGCGTCGTAAAGTAATACTTAAAATGCAACAAAAATATCGTATGAATCACCTGTCCCTAATGATAAAGATATGTATTGTTAAACTTTAAAGTTAAACTTTAAAAATGCAAACAACAGTAAAATTTTTCAAGTTGCCTTTTTACTAATTTATAATTTATTTGAATGACTAATATTATACATACAATGTTTATATATCTCTACAGGACTTTTTTTCTTATTGTTAGTTTATCGAGCCCCTACACGCTTCCGAAGTTTTGACATTTAAATTCCAAACACTCTGTATACAAAGATATCGTTCAAAATGTGATATTTTTAACAAATATATAATTATCTTCTTCAGCATTTTGGTTAAGCAAAAATTGATTCATAATTAATGGAAAAATGAACGTTAATTAGTTAAATCTGAAATGCACTGTATAAGTTCTTGTTAGTACGATCGTGTCGTAAAGTATATTGTCTATACTAGGTCCACCAGATCCAAATAAGACAGTCTTTGTACGACAAAGTTCTACGGTCGTTTGTACAGCTGGGATAGCCCATTCGATGACAATAGAGCCACGCGATGAATATGATAATCTGTGCATATTTGGGCCTGGAGATCAGCCTACAGAAGGTTATAGTGTCAATATTACTCAGGTAAATCAGAAATTTTCCCAAAAATAAAAATCTTAATATTTATTGCTTAAATTGATTGTCCAAATTTATCTTCGTTAGATTGGTAGTACAGTAGATAAAGGATCGATGATAGACTATAGTATTCAACTCGACTATGATTCTTCAAATCAAAGAATTCGTTTGAAAGTGAGCTTTCCAAAAGGCGGATGTTATCATGCAACGGTTAGCTTGGCAGGATTACAGCTGCATAATGGAGATTTTGATATCATCGTTCTCGAAAGTATGTAAAATATTTTATTTTCAAACTTAGATATCTTTCTATTTTGCTTTTTCATAATGAGGCTCGTATATTGCCCTTTTTTTCTCATTACTAGATTCCGTCGCAAGAATGGTGCATAATAATGTAGCATCTAAGGATCCAGATATCTGTTATGTTGCAAAGTTATTAGGCATGCAAGGAGAAAGATTTTCTAAACCAAAGAAAGTCTTCTGCTTTATCTCGCCTAAGCAACTTACGATTAAGGAATATTTATTAAAATTTATTCCCAAAAGACTCGTAACATTTAGACTATGTCCTTCGACAAAGGTATGGTATAATCATCAAAAATAATTTTATATGCGCATTAATTTGCTGATTTTTATCTATTAGATCTGTTATTTCTTAGTTTCTTATTGTAAATTGTAGTTCCATTTTGAAAATTCGACCAATCAGCACGAGGGATATTATCCTTTCTCGATAGACGATGGATGTCAACCTCCCGTTGAACTAATATCTCTGTATCGTGATATAATAGCCGCCACTTTCACTTTGTTTCTCTTGAAAAACATCGGCGGTAGTGAAACATTCGCTGACAAACAAGATTTTTTCTATCATGAAGTCCGCAAGCACCATCAGAAGCATTACCACGAGAAACTCTCCATGAAAGTGCAGCGTGATAAGCTTTTAGAATCGGTAAATGTATAAATAAATTCATGATACATATTCATGAAAGCACTGCATAAAGATGTATATTAATAATGTGTTTTTTTTTTTGTTAAAAGTCTATGAAAGCTACTAAAGGATTTTCCGTGAGTGATTGGTGTCGAAATTTTGAAATAATATTTCAAGGCGAACAAGGTACGTTTACATTTAAGAAACTTTTATGAAAATTAATTTTAAGACAATTACAAGAGTCATTGTCTCATGTTAGGCGTTGATTGGGGTGGCGTGCGACGTGAATGGTTCGAATTGATATGCGCCGCGCTATTTGATCCGGGCAATGGTTTGTTCGCGTCATTTGGGGAGTCGCAACAGGCATTAGTGCATCCAAATCCCAAACGACCATCGCATCTTAAATTGAAGCACTATGAGTTTGCCGGACGTATCGTAGGAAAGTGTCTTTATGAGTCGGCGCTCGGCGGCTCCTATCGTCAGTTAGTACGCGCACGATTCACCAGATCATTCCTTGCACAGATTATAGGACTTAGAGTGCATTACAAGGTAACTCATTGAATTTCTTTTTTATTCCTACGCAAAAAATTGATAACAGATAAAATATAACAGACAGCTTTATTTTTTATGGATTAGTATTTTGAACAAGATGATCCTGATTTATACTTGAGTAAGGTAAAGTATATTCTTGAGAACGACGTTGAAGAAATGGAATTGTACTTCGTTGAAGAAGAATATGATAAGGATGGACAATTGTTGAAGGTACATATTATTATTTCTTGATATTAATCTTTGAATATTTTTGTTTCAAAATAAAATCATTAATCGAAGTTCTTTATGTATTTTCCATGCATTAAGTTTAGGAATAGAATTTTATTTTATCTCTAAGCTTAATACATAGCCGAAATTTAATACACAGCTATGATTAACACGTTTTATGTAGGTGGCAGAATTAATTCCTGGTGGTAGCAAAGTCCGAGTGACTAACGATACGAAACTTCGTTATCTGGATGCACTCGCTCAGCACCGACTTGCTAGTTCCATCCGCAACGAAGTCGATCATTTTCTGCGCGGTCTTAACGAACTGATTCCCGATAACCTCTTAGGTATATTTGATGAAAATGAATTAGAGGTGAGTAAAATTAAAATATATAAAAATAAATCTGTCAGAAGATGATAGTTTGCGACTTTATCTCTTTCACAGTTACTATTATGCGGGACTGGTGAGTACAGCGTGGCAGATTTACGCGCGCATCACATAGCTAACGGAAGTTCTCCGGAATTTCTTCGAGTACTCGATTGGTTCTGGACGGCGGTGAGCAATTTTACGCAGGAGGAGATGGCACGATTGCTCCAATTCACTACGGGTTGCTCGCAATTACCGCCTGGTGGATTTCAACAACTGAGCCCTCGTTTTCAGATTACAGCTGCACCAACGTTCGCTAATTTGCCTACAGCACATACTTGGTACGTTCTAACTTAGAAATATCATTAGAATATTCATGTTTTTTCTTTGATCATTAGTTTGTTATTAATATTACTTTTCAGCTTTAACCAACTCTGCTTACCTGATTATGAGTGCTACGATCACTTTGAACGAGCGTTACTGTTGGCAATCAGCGAGGGCACCGAAGGTTTCGGCATGATCTAACCGGGAAAGCCCGGAGTAAGATTCATCAAACTTCTAGTCTGACTAGAACTGTTGATTAAATTAATTTACGTACCCATTTTTTCCTCAATAGTTGAACCCGTCCCTGATGGGTAAAAAAAAAGTTTTCGATAATAGATACTATTACTAGTCCTATAGTCTCATAGGAACTTCTTACTCAGCAAGATCAGAAATGAGAGTAACTATCGCACGTTTTTATATGTAGATATTTAGAATTTTTGGAATTACCTTTTTTCTGTTTACGCCGAAGACTATCAGGAATAATCTAATCTTCCGATGATGTAGACGATGCAATTTCTACTGAGACGCGGCAACGTTTTTATAAAACGGAAAATATTCAGCAAGAGCAATGTTACCTCAACATCAGAATTGCTCAATATTATTGTATCGAAATTTAGCGTAGCCGAACTTACGATAGCTTTTACGTGAACATAAAGAGAATTAAGTTAACGCGTTTTTCAAACGACAATGTAACTGAACGTCGATGTATAAAAATATACGATGCAACAAATCAAAATACGTATAAAAATAATATTCTTTTTGTAGTAACTATTATACGTACAGAGATTAGTACATTTGATGAAGGGATCACTGTAACAGCACTGAACGTTCCGTTATTCAGTATTAATTGAAATACATTCTATCGTATAATGCAGGGAATATATGATTTTAAAAGAACTTGTAAAGAGTGATGAATAATGAGGCTAATGTATTAAAGCTTTCCGCTAGTTTAGTTTCTTCGTTTTCTCTCGTAATAACAGCACGGCGATAATACGGTATTTTCAACATCGATGATGGCGCATGTAATATAAGCTAATTAGTATGTACAAAATATGACTGTATTCTGAGACACTACGTATTACATCCATTTCTTATCGACGCAAAATGCTCGCAATATAATAAGCATGATAACCTAGTCATAACGAAGTAACTACGATCGTATTGTGCGTATCGCATTGGTATACGTATTTATTTAAGATGCAGTGACACGTACTTATATTAAGTAGAAAAGGAATAGTATGAAACGTAGTAATCGCCATAGCAAATTATTCGTTGCAAAATAATGAACAAATGGCCAACGATTGTAAACCGTACAACGCGCCTCGCAATAGCAAGAAACTTAACAGCCTCGCCAGATTATATACCATCAAATAATACTGACGGTAATTTATTTTTATCAGTTTATCATTACATGAAAGGAAATAAAAAGTATAGATTAAAAAAGCATATAATATCTACATTTATTCAATAAATTCCGTTAAAGTCTCCGCCTAATACGTATAGCTCCTTGCTTTCATTAATTTATGAAAAATAAAAATTTATCCTATAAATCGAAATACCACATGACATAATAAAATCGCTTATTCTGTTTACAGTATATGTAATGTTAAACATAGGATATATAAAACTCTATTCCTCAAAAATTAAATATTGACTTAAAAAAAATGGTATTTATATTTTAAATGTAATACGAAATGCTGATGTTCATCAATCTCTCTACTGTCCTGCGAGCGTTTATCCTTGCCAGTCGATCATAAAATACTCTCCTCTTTCGACCTAAGTCATTTGCAAACGGACAGTATTTCAATTCGGTTTCACCCGATTAAAACCAGCTTATGTCCCGGAAAATTGTGATCACGCTTAAGTTCCTTAATCTGCGAGAGATATTGATATGATAATATTATTCTTATTTCAATTCTATTTTCCTAATCAAATCTTTATACCGAGGATAAGTGAAATTATTAAACCTCAGCGAAATTTTGTGTTAATCTCTTTTAGTCAATGAAATGTTATAACTAATTTAATCTAAAGCCAATATTACATTTGGTATTTCATGTCGTACGATAAATTTTCTAAGACAGCTGTCTTACAAGCTGTAAGCTCTGATCCGAGAACTTCTCCGTTCTGCAGCTAATTAATCAACAGGCTTAAAAAGCTCGTACGACACATGAAATATCGGCCTAAAATACTCAGTATGTATATTCAAAATTAGAATATAAAGGCCCTGATATATAAAAATAAGACGTAAGAAAAAATAAGACTTAAGTAATAAAGAAAGCAACATGTTAGATTCGCTTCTATTCACATTGTGATCTTACAGTCTGTACTGTGATTGATCGATTCGCTTTTATATATATATATATTACTAAGGCCTATATTTTAAATTTTTCTATATCCCATGGCTTTAAGATATCTTATCGTCGGCATAATAATGCGGAGCAAGGATAAAGTCTTATGTTCTCTCAATTGTTGCAAATTGGAAATTATAAGCTGTGATAAACTACCTACCTACGGCAGCAATGGCAGAGTGGCATTGGATAAAAACGCGAAAGTTCGTAGAATAGATACACGCATGATGCTCCCAGCGATCTGCAATATCCGACTCCAGCCACCTTCTTGAGATTGTCGCAGCAATCGCTCTCTCAGTTCATTTAATTCCATCCTAATGGATTTCAATGGTACAAAAGTATCTCGTGGTGTCTGTTTAGCCTCAGAAACACAAGGCAATTTTTTTTCTTTTTAAATAACTTACATTTGTGAATGATATTCCATTTCAACGCGGTGGAACTCAACTTCTCGATCAGCTAACTGACTCTCCAGAGAAATCGTGCGTAAACTCAGAGTCTTCGCATTATCCTCGCTAGCTTTCAAATATTTTTCTAATCTCTGTCTCTCGGCCATCGCGATTTGCAGCTCCCTAATTATACAAACGTTATTTCTAAGATACTCCTAACTTCCTGCACTTAAGGTCTTTCAAACTAGGGATGCACCGAATAGCCGAAAAGTATCCGATATCTGGTATTATCCGACACTTTTTTACCATTCGACCGAATAATCGGATATCATTAGTATCTGGGAATATATCCGGTTGAAATTTTATATTGAAAAGTTACGTAATTGATACAGACTTCTATTCTTTTCAGCTGAACTTTGTACATATTTCGTCTTTCTTCTTTTTTTTCACATTGGAAAAATAAGATAAATTGTGCAAAAAGCTAAGATTGCATTCGAGAAACGATATCAACAGTATCAGCGCTATCATGTCATTTTATTTCTATCATTAGATGTAAAACAGGAATAGGATATAGAGCGTGTTCCGAATTACACATGAAGCACTTGATGCATCATTTGTCCTTGTCGTTCATTAAATACTAAAGAAAGATAAAATTGTACATACAAAAAGAGCGGAGATAATTGAAGAACGCTGATATTATCGACAATTGATATAATTTTGCGATTATTAACATATAAATATTTGGCTAATATATATCTTTATTGATTTTTCATTATATAAATGTTCTAATATATCATTGATGATTTGTTATTGTATAAATGTTCTATAAATCTATATAATATATGCATACTCGTAATGCTATATCTTATATACAAGGTGTCCCGTAAGTTTTTGCCAAGCGCTTTTGTGTAGATAGAGCGAACTAAACCGAGAAGAAAAGTTCTCTACCATTTTGCAATTTTCGCAATAATTAATAAGATATTAATTACTAAAAATTGCTAAATATTGGCCTTCAATAATTTTTTATTCAAATATTATCAACTTTACAGAAAAAGTAGAAACAAAAATCACTTATTTTCTTCTCATAGAACTCTAAGAATTTTTTCAGAATTTTTTATCAACTTTTTAGTACTGCATTTTCTTATTTTTACCAACATAAGAAAATACAATATTAAAAAATTTTGTTTAAATTTTTTGAAAATTCTCAGAACTTTATGAGAAAAAAATATTTTTGTCTCTCGCTGTGTTTGTCTCCTCTTTATATCTGTACAAAAGAGCTTGTCGAAAACTTACGGGATACCCTGTATATTGCTGCAAAATTACAATTTTTTTCTCTACAGTTATCATCTCTATTGATAATGAAACTCGGACGATAACATTAAAATCATAATTATTATCACTATTTTTCCCTTACAGTCCCTTTTCCTTTTTGCTCCCTTTTTTCTTTTTTTACTCAGCCTTTTTTTTTAGACGTTGTTCCGGAATCCAGTTAAACATCCGGAAAATATCGGATATCCGACTCGAAAAATTGCCTTCCCGGATATCCGATGTCACATTGCTTTCGGATATCCGATATAATTTTATGATCCGATGCATCCCTATTTAAAATTTGATCTGAATACCCAATATACCCTATATACCAAGTATATACCTAGAAGTACACTGAAGTTGTTCCTGCGCAGACTCAGCGAAAGATACCTGTGCCACTAATTGTAACTGTAACTCTTCGATGGCAGATTCTGCTTTTTCCGCTCTGGCATCATGTTCTGTTGCTAGTTTCTCGCTGGCTGATATCTAAACAAATATACTTATCATAATAGTTTCATATAGCATATATCCTTATCATAATCTACATTTATAAAAGACTATAACTTCTATAGAATATATTATAAATATATCTCAGTAAACATTTTTTTATACACAATCATTCTATATAAAAATCACTCTATATAAAATTATGTAAAATATGTATAAAATATATATAAAATATATATATGTATAATCCATTAGATAATTATATAAGATATAGTAAAAAGAAATCTATTATTTTTGCATTAAATTGAAGGCTTTATTTAGTATAGTTAGAATGATCCGATTTAAGTCAAATATGCACCGTTTTGTTCGATAACTTGTTGTCATTTTGAAGGTAATTTCATTATGCCTCTCTCATAGAAACCCTCGTCCCTATTGGCAAAAAACTGGGACAGTCGATTTTCACAAGCTTCTCTTGAGGCGAATTTTTCACCAGCAAAATCATTCGCCATAGACAGGAACAGGTGGTAATCACTTGGTGCCAGGTCCGGACTATAAGGTGGATGCATAAGAACCTCCCAACCAAGCTCCCGGAGCTTCTGGCGAGTCACTATCGATGTGTGTGGCCTGGCGTTGTCTTGATGGAACACAATTCCTCTCCTATTGGCCAAAGCTGGCCGCTTCTGGGCGATTGCTTCTTTCAGACGGTCCAATTGTTGACAGTACAGG